TCCCACAAAATGCAGAGAAAATGAAACATGCAAGAACAAGTGAAGAAATAACAAATAGCAGGGCACAAATGATGCTATTTACATGGTATTTGCAAGTATTTGAAATAAGTTGGTTAGGTTTCATTTCACTTGGCTGTTCTACTTTTTACCATTGTACTTAGCAAAATACTCACACCCACGTGGTTTGTTGTTCTCCTTCCCATGAAGTGGTTATAGGTGACTGAGCATGCTGTGAGTACAGGTGTGATGGTTTGCAGAGCCAACAGGCAATCATTAGCAATAGCAGCAGAGCTGGTACAGTTTGGGGAGAGACAGCTTTACCCAAATCCACCTTCCTGCTGGCTTTTCATGAATTTTCCAGACAGACATTTCCTTGAAGAAACAAGATAGAGCAGAGGAGGCTGAGAAGTAGCCTGTATGAGTAGCCTGCATGTGCCTTTGACATTAAGAAGTATGCCCAATTTAGAGTCTGAAGATCCTCTCTAGTCATTAGCAGGGTTGCTTTGTTGGGTAATCTACCTGGCTCTCCATGCTTGAGTGGAGCCAAGCAGGATTAGCTTTGGTTTCAGTGGAGAGCTCAGAGAACACAAACAGCTGTGCTGTCAGCCTGATGCACTGGGGAATTTGTCTGACCAGTTTCATTTTAGTAAATCCTGGACATTGTGTCAGAAGAGAAACATGTAGAGTGGCACATGTGTGTTTTCTTGTGTGTATGTATGTGGGGAAGGGGTCCAGGATCCTTTCAATACCACTATACTACTCTGTACAGCATGAGGGACATCTCTCTGTCTGGACCTGCGAACCACTACATCACATCTCACTCCTCCTTTCTTGTCTACCTTGACACTTCATCTTTAAGGCACTTTGTCCCCATGTGACATTAAAATCATTTAAAGAAAGAAGATAAATCCACTCAACAAGCAAGCCGTTACCTTTATGCTAGCCTCACACTAGCCTGTTCTGTTTGCTGACCCCATCTGGGCCATTCAGCATCTGCTCCAAGTGCTGCTTCAAGTTAAGCTCTACTGGTGACAAGACAACAGCCAAGGAAACCCACAGAGCTTCCAATAAGACAGGAGCAATACCAAAGTATATAGGAGCAAAGGAAATACATGTTACAGACACGATCAGGACCATAATCGGCTCAGCCCTGCCTCCTGTCTGGCAGTGATCTCATGATATAGCTGCACACAAAGATCCTCAATAAGTTGGTGCCCTAGCAAGCTAAGCACTCAGCAAACCACTCCTGCCCTGATGTGCTTTGCCCTACCTGATTCAGGATGTGTCAGAGGATGGGCAAATAACTGTATGTTGACAAATGGAGAACACACTCCCATGGGGAACCTCACTTAGAGAAAATCGCATGTAAGACAAGAAGGGCTGAATTCCCCCCTTACTACTGGGAACAGTTACAGACCTAATGAATTATTCAATGAAATACTGTATTACTCAGTTTTCAGGACTTAAAAGCACAATTGACTGTCTCAAAACACTGTCAAAACCACAAAAGGAACTTGCTATAAGTGGTTCAAAGTGCCCCTGCATCATATTCCAACAGCTTGGTAGCAATGTATTGCCTGCAAATGGATACACCAACTGTAGAGATGGTGTCCTTCTGGCTCTGAAACATAGAAGAAACTCTAGGTAATTCCAAATCCCTATGGGCCAGCACCTCAGCTTTTAGGGGCAGTCCAAGAGCTCAGTCGTCTCCTGCCCCAGTCAGAAGGAAAGGAAGCCCCAGGCGCAGGCCACATGGTGAACTCTGGTTCTTTCTGCATGACCAGGGGAAGACATGAGGAAGTGGGATGGTGAACCCACCTCTAAACTGGAAGCTCTGGTACGTGAATTGAGAGGGAAGAGAGCTGTTAAGAAGGGTTCACCCAAGAAGGTTGTCAGTGTAGTTGCTGCAGAGACCCAAGAAAGCAATCAGCGATGTCCCAGACGTAAAAGAATTGAAATCACCTCCTTTGATTCTGGTGAGGGGACTTTGGGTCTGGCATTGCAAAGGTCAGATGGTGAATACTCTGACCAGGAACAGGAAATAAAGGGTCCATGCCTTCGACCAGGAGGAGGAAAGGGATGACTGAACATACTGGACTGTGTGGATTCGATGGCCTGACACATCAGATCCACAGAGGTATAGAGCTTTAGTAGATACGGGTGCACAGTGCACACTGATGTCATCAAGACACAGGAATGCAGAACCCATCTAGATCTCTGGAGTGACAGGGGGATGCCAGGAGTTGTCTGTATTAGAGGCTGAAGTGAGTTTAACAGGGAACAAGTGGAAAAAGCACCCCATTGTGACTGGCCCAGAGGCCCCTTGTATCCTTGGCATCGATTATCTCAGGAGGGGATACTTCAAAGATCCAAAGGGATATCGATGGGCTTTTGGTGTAGCTACTGTAGCTACAGAGAAGATCAAACAATTATCTACCCTGCCTGGCCTCTCAGAGGATCCCTTCGTTGTGGGATTGCTGCAAGTTGAAGACCAGCAAGTGCCACTTGCTACCAAGACAGTGCACCAGCAGCAATATTGCATGAACCAAGATTCCATAATTCCTATCCATAAGCTAATTTGATGACTGGAGAGCCAAGGAGTGATCAGCAGGACCCACTCACCCTTTAACAGCCCCATATGGCAAATGCGAAAGTCTAATGGGGAGTGGAGGCTGACAGTGGACTATCGTGGCTTGAATGAAGTCACGCTGCCTCTGAGTGCTGCTGTGCCAGACATGTTGGAATTTCAATATGAGCTCGAGTCAAAGGCAGCTGAGCGGTGCCACAATTAACATCTCTAATGTGTTTATCTCAATCCCTCTGGCAACTGAGTGCAGGCCACAGTTTGCCTTCACATGGAGGGGTGTCCAGTATACCTGGAATCAACTGCCCCAGGGGTGGAAACACAGCCCTACCACCTGCCATGGACTGATCCAGACTACACTGGAACAGGGGGAAGCTCCGGAACACCTGCAATATATTGACGATATCATTGTGTGGGGCAAGACAGCAGAAGAAGTTTTTGAGAAAGGGAAGAAAATAATCCAAATCCTTCTGAAAGCTGATTTTCCCATAAAACTAAGTAAGGTAAAGGGACCTGCATGGGAGATCCAGTTCCTGGGAATAAAATGGCAGGATGGATGCCGTCATGTGCCCATGGATGTGGTGAACAAAATAGCAACTATGCCTCCACCGGCTAAAAAGAAGGAAACACAAGCTTTCCTAGGCCTTGTGGGGTTCTGGAGAATGCACATTCCAGGTTATAGTCAGCTTATGAGCCTCCTCTATTGAGTGACCCAGAAGAAAAACCATTTCCAGTGGAGCCTTGAGTAACAATAGGCCTTTGAGCAGGTCAAACAGGAAATAGCTCATGCAGTAACTCTTGGGCCTGTTTGGACAGGACCAGCCGTGCAAAATACCCTCTATGTTTCTGTCTCAGTTTAATGAGACTGAAGTGTTTTGCTAAGGAAAATGAGTTATGAGGAAGACCAAACTCCTCCCTCTAAGCAATTGTAGATCCGAAATTAAGAGGTTCCAACTGAGGAAGTATGGAAAAAGAAAAAATAACAGCCCTTTATTAAAGGATATATGTGTATTGGCAGAACAACAAAAGAACACAAAAAGAACCCGAACAATAATCCTGTACCCAAAAATCCCCTTCAAAAAGGAAACAGTTCAATACTTTCTGCCTTTTGGCACAATTCTAACCACAATCAGCAGGGGGCGCTGTTGGATCTCTGGAGGAGCAGAGCCTGCAGTTGCTTGGTGGTAGTCAGCAGGGGGCGTGCTGGGCTCTGCAGTTGACACATGGGGCCCCAGTGCATGGGAGAAGCCGAAAATGGAGATCTCCCCCACCACCACCGAGAAGGGGAAGGGGAAAAGGGGAAAAGGGGAAAAAGGGGGCTTTTCCCACGAAACTCACACTGTCTGTGGCTGGTTGTGGCCGGGATTCCCCCCCTTCTGTTGATGGACACAAGCCGCTGCCAACACGGGAGCAGAGGAGGGAAAGGGCGACCTCCCCAAAAGGTTCCTCTGCAGATGGGTCAAACCTCTCCAATGAAATCCAAGCAGGTCTGGGCTGGGGGCAGAACAGGGCACAGGAAAACGGAGGCAAACAGGGGCAGGAGCAGCCAGATGACCAGGCTGAAAACAAAGTGAACCTCAGATCCCTCCAACACACACCCTCCCTCAGTCAGGGCAAAAGTAAAGTGTCTTGCCATTTCCAAGGAGAAAAGCTAAAAAACTCCACACCTCCCCCCCACAGTCTTCTGAGGGCTATCAACCTGGAATGTGGGCTGTCAGCCAGTTCTTTTGTGTGTGTGAATCACCCTAGCCAAACCACCCTCCCCCGTTCAATATCTTTCTTTCACAATGATGCAGGGGAAAGGAAAATTCCCTGCTTGGTTTTTTAGATCAAGTAAACCTCTGACAGCTTAAGCTGGGGAGCATGGTCTCACCTGGAGCCTCTGGTAAAGAACATAAGGAGAAACTCGGTCGACCATTAGGGTTTTGGAGCTGGGGTTATTGAGGATCAGAAGCCCACTACGCGCCAACTGAAAAGGAGATATTAGCAGCCTATGGGGGGGTTCAAGCTGCCTCAGAGGTTGTTGAGACAGAAACATGTCTCCTCTTGGCACTGCAATTGCCTGTGCTGCACTGGATGTTCAAAGGGAACATCCCCTCAACACATCATGCAACCAGTGCTTCATGGAGTAAGTGGGTAGCATTGATTACAGAACGGGCTTGAATGGGAAAACCCAATTTCTCTTGGAAAATATTATGGACTGGTCAGAAGGAATATTTGGAGCACTGCCTGAAGAGGTGACTCGTACCCAAGAAGCACCACCATATAATGAGTTACCAGAAAATGAAAGAAACTATGCTCTCGGTACTGATGGATTCTGCTGTGTGATAGGAAACCAACGGAGGTGGAAAGCTGCTGTGAGTAGTCCCACACAACAAGTAGTTGAGACTGCTGAATGAGAAGGCAAGTCAAACCAGTTTTCAGTATTGAAAGCCATCCAACTAGCCCTAAAGATTGCTGAATGAGAAAAGTGGCCTGTACTGTATCTCTATACTGACTCCTGGATGGTGGCTAATGCCCTGTGGGAGTGGCTACAGCAATGAAAGGAGACCAACTGGCAACACAGGGTAAACCCATCCAGGCTGCTGCATTGTGGCAGGACATTGCTGCATGTGTAGAAAACATGATTCTGAAGGTGCATCATGTCGATGCTCACATGCCCAAAAGTTGAGCCACTGAAGAACATCAGAACAATGAGCAGGTGGATAAGACTGCCAAGATTGGAATAGTTCAGGTAGACTTAGACTGGGAGTGGAAGGGTGAGCTATTTATAGCCCGATGGGCCCATGAAACATCAGGACATCTAGGAAGTGATGTGATGTACAGATGGGCTCGTGATCAAGAGGTGGACCTGACCATGGAGGCCATCACACAGGTTATTCACGAATGTGAAACGTGCGGCAATCAAGCAGGGCCACATGAGTAAAATCTCCTTGGAATAGAGGGCAGTGGCTGGGTTTCCAATATGATGAGGCCTGGCAAGTTGACTACATTGGACCACTGCCACGAACACACCAGGGCAAGAGCTATATACTCACCATGGTGGAGGCAACAATTGACTGGCTGGAAACATATCCTGTAAACCAGACCACTGCTTGAAACACCATCTTCGGCCTTGAGAGGCACATTCTGTGGTAACATGGTACCCCAGAGAACACTGAATCAGAGAATGGGACTCATTTTTGAAATAACCTTATGAAAGATGGCATTGAGTGGATCTATCATATCCCTTATCACCCACAAACCTCTATAAAGACTGAGAGGTATAATGGACTGCAGAAGACTTTGTTAAGAGTGTTAGGTTAGGGACACAGAAACATTGGTATGAGAATTTAGCCGAAGCTACTTGGCTGGTCAACACTAGGGGATCTGCCAACTGCCCTGGTCCTGCCCAAACAAAACCCCTACATACTGTAGGAGGAGATAAGGTCCCCATACTATACATGGGGAAGTGGCTGGGGAAGGTTGTGTGGATTTCTCCTCCCGTGGGAAAAGACAAACCCATTCATGGGATTGTCTTTGCTCGGGGACCAGGGTGTATTTGGTGGGTAATGCGGAAGGATGGGGAGACCCAGTGTGTGCCTCAACGAGATTTAGCTTGGGGAAAAAATAATGTGGTGTTAGTTGTATGTTGCAGGAAGTAAAGTAACAGGAATGACACGAAGCGATGAAGAACGAATTTTGCGAGGAGCAAGGAGAGTGTGATGATGACCCAAGCCAGGCTGGTGTTGGTGCCCAGCGATCAAATGTGCTGCTTCTCCTGTCCTGAATACCCATCCTGATGGAATGGAGCCCAAGTCATGGATCTGGAGGGGTAGAAGAAGCCCATGAAATGGGAAAATAATATCTATCTGTAAAAGGACGGTGGACAGTAGTTTTTAAAAATGTATAAATCTGTATGTTGGGTATAAAGATGGTTTAAGGATGCAGTTTAAGTTGTAAGTGTTGGTAAGAAGGGATTTCAGTAATGAGAAATAAATAGAATGGAATAGTCAGAAGATACATAAATTATGAGGGATCCGAGTATGGTGCAAATGGTATGGAATAAGGGGTAGAGATAGTATTGAGTTTGAGCTGGAGTTCATTTCCCCATAGCAGCCCTCACAGTGCTGTGCTTTGCATTGGTAGCTAGAAAGGTGTTGATAACACACCAGTGTTTTGGCAACTGCTGAGCAGTGCTGGCACAGCATCAGTTCTGTCTCTCAACATTCCCCCCCTCAATCCCAGGGGCTGGGGGTGGGCAAGATCCTGGGAGGGGACACAACTAAGCCAGCTGACCCAAGCTAACCAAAGGGATACTCCAGACCATATGCCGTCAGCTCAGATATAACAGCTAAGGAAAGGAGGAGGAAGGGAGGGCATTCATTATTTTATGATGTTTGCTTTGTGGAGCAACCATTACATGTGCTGAAGCCCTGCTTCCCAGGAAGTAGTCGAACACCGCTTGCTGATGGGAAGTAGAGAATAAACCTTTCTTTTTTCCTCTTTGGTTGTGCCTGTGCAAACATGGGCTTTTGCTTAAGTAAACTGCCTTATCTCAACTTATGAGCTGTTTTCCATCTTATTTTCTCTTCCCTGTGCATCTGGGAAAGGGAGTGGTAGACCGACTTGGAGGGTACCTGGCATCCAGCCAAGGTCAACCCACCACAGCATTATTGCTTCTGCTGTTTCTTTTTTCTCTTCTGTCTTGTCTCCTCTGTCTTTTTTACATACACATCACCCCTGTGGACAACCCGTGAACTGAGGAAAAGTCCCTGGAAGAGTGTTTGAGTCAAGGGGTAGTGGTGCAAGGACTTAAAGAGCACAACTGACTGTGTTAAAACGCTATCAAAGCCACAGAAGGAACTTGCTATAAGATAAGCCACCACAGCAGGAACTTGAGATAAGCACAGAAGAGAGGAACTTGCAACAGGAAGGTGCTACTTCCAGGCCTAGCAGAGGTGAGGTTTAATTAGCATCTCCTAGTTAATGCATCCAGAAAAAAATTCCCACTGTGGCAGACTGTGGGAAAGGAAGCAACTGCTTATACACATGCCATACGAGGTTATGGGAATGGCATCTATGCCCTGTGGATACCTGGAACTTGGACTGTATAAAAGTGATACCATAGAAGAATGATTCCGGCACCTCCAACACCGAGAAAACCAGGGTGAAGAAGGGCCAGCGGGATGCTATGGGATCCATAGGGTGTGATATCTTTCTACTTAATCTGTCTCTCACTCTCTTTCTCTCCCCCCCCCCAACCTTTCCTATTTCTTTCTATCTGTCTACTTCACATTTTACTGTTAAATAAAACCCATACTATTGACTTCGGCATATGGTCTCGTTTGCACCGTAATTCAGCAGAGGCATCTCTTAATAATCGGACCATAATATCAATGCAATTTAAAATGGTTACCTGTTTAGCTGGCTGGATGTGTCTAGCTGCTTCATGATGAGGGAAGATAGTAATGGAGCATGAAGCCGGACAAGGCCCAGAAAGCAAATATTACTATATGAAAAATAAAGAGTTAAATTCAGAATATAGGTATAAGCAAGAGCAGAAAAGCTTAGTCTTAGAAATAGTAGAGGCAATAATTCATTAAGGTATGCAGAACATACTGGTACAGGAGAACAAGAACTCATGTACTCAGAAGAACAACCTGATAAAGAAGGAAGATGAGCCAAGATCTGGGTATCCCTGCAAAATCATCAGAAACTTTTGCCAGATACACTAGGAAGTCAGCCAAAGTAAGAAAGTTCACAAAGTTCATGATGATGATGGGAGGCGGGCAGGGGGCTGTCCGAGACTGAAGGCCGGAACGACCCTCCCAAATTCCCCCCAAATTGAAGACCACACCTCTAACTCCGCCTAAACTCCACCTGTTATGAATATTGAAAATGTATGTTGCAATTCTATGAATATGTATGTAAAAAATGTTGTAATCACTTGCAAAAGTCATATATAATCCTGTCTTTTTACTGAAAAGGTGGAGCGGTTCTTCCAGGATGACCTGACCGTTCCCCGGGCACTCCGGAGGCCCGCGAAATAAAGTACCTCCTGCTTAAAGGCTACAAACTTTGTCTCTAAGCAGTTTCTTTTCATTCGTGCCTTTTTGGGGGCAAAATCTTGGCATCAAGCATGGGAAGCAGAATGGACTTAATGTGAATGTGTTTATGTTAAAAATCAGATTTGAATATATCGTTCCTCTGGTTTCAGTCTTTAAATGAAATCATAACCAGTTTTAATAATGTATTCCTCTTTTAAAATACGACATGCTGAACAGCTTCTTTGTTACATGTTGCTATGCCCAAAACCAGAAATGTCAAAAGTAGTCATATGCTTTGGTCTCCTACAGAACTGTTCCTTTTGTGATTTCAGGCAAAGCACATGAGCCAGGAATTTGGTGAACATCATTCTATGATATACTGAAGATCTACTTGGAGGGTCAGACCACCCCCCAAATCCACAGTTTCCATTTGTCCCAAGACAAGGAGTGACTTTGGACAGTGGTGGGTGGAGAGTGGTTTAGGATGCCATCACCTCTCGCTGCCACCGTGTGTGACCACGTGCATCCTCCTCATTTGAGGCAGTCTGATAGGCACAAATGCCATTTGGTGGCAGACTAGGCTGATTTGGGTCTGGCTGAGCTGAAGTTCATTTCCCCATAGTAGTCCTCACAGTGCTGGGCTTTGCATTGACAACTAGAAGGGTGTTGATAACACACTGGCGTTTTGACTACTGCTGAGCACAGCATCAGCACTGTAACATTCCTTCCTCAATCGAGGGCAAGATCCTGGGAGGGGACCCAAGTAGACCAGCTGACCCAAACTGACCAAAGGGATATTCCATACCATATGACATCAGCTCAGATATAAAAAGCTGAAACAAGGAGTAGGAGGGCGGGCATTCATTGTCTCCAATGGCTGCCTGCTGAGAAACTGTTAGCGTGCTGAAGCCCTGCTTCTCAGGAGTGGTCGACCATCGCTGCTGATGGGAAGTAGAGAATAAACCCTGCTATCTTTCACTTTGCTTCGCTTTTGCATGTGCAAGCTTCCGCTTTGCTTTCACTTTAAATAAACTGCCTTATCCCAACCCACGAGTTGTTTTTCTACCTTACTCTCTCCCCTGTCCCGCTGGGGAGGGGAGTGATAGAATAGCTAGGTGGGCACCTGGCATCCAGCCAAGGTCAACCCACCACACTTCCTTTGCACTGTGGGTTGGAATCATGCAGACAGTGACTGCTCCTGTCTCTGCTGAGACCCACTGGCTGAACCTCGCTAACTTAATAGCTCTTGAACCTGCCTGACTAGGAGGTGATGGAACTTCCTGCTTTGGGGACATTGCAGTGTTAGTCCATGGGATTTGCTGCAGTGGGAAAACAATGAGAAATTAATCCAGTGGGGCAATATTGTATTTTTCCATCTTCAAGGTCTATGAGATGAAATTTTGAGATGTATTTGACTCTTTGTCCCCCACTCCCAGCCAAGATTGTTTCAGAGGCTGAGGACTGCAGCAATTTCCTGATGAAATATACCTTCTCAAGCAAGTTGAGAATTTAAATTACACAGTAAATAAAATTAATCTGTCTGTTCACATCCTGATAAGTTATCAAGAGAGTCTTCAGAAAATGGAGGGAAAAAGAACAAAATGCTGACTACAACTTCTAATTTGAACCCAAGTCCCAATTTCAGCTCACTTGCGTCATTTAGCTTGGGGACATTAGCCTGCTTATAGTCAACACTGAAATCATCACTACCTTTCACCTCTGACAGAGAGTATTTGTCAGCAAGGACTGTGCCACTTCTTGGAGAGATTTCAGGGTACGTACATCAATAGGGGCTTTGCCTGCAGGCTGTATAGAAAGGGAGGTATAAGAATGCTGTGTGCTGTGGCCACGCTGATTCTGATGAGGGCTGCGCTACCCGGGGAGATTTGGAGAGCGTAAGTGTGACCATGCAGTCGGCATTAGCACAGTTGATGGCCATACCTCCCTGCATTGTAAAGAAAAGCAATTTTTACTAAACAGGGGTAGCAGAAATGAAAAGGATCCATATGCGGCCAGCCCCCTCCTCTGAATATAGGGAATATGGTTTAAAGCTGGGCACTAGCATTGATTATTCAGGATAGGTCATCTGGATCAGGATTGTTTCACCCAGCTTCAGAAAAGACTTCAGATAAGCAAGGGTCAGACAGCTAGGTCATCCAACTACCAACTTGAGCAAGTTGTGGGAGACACTGTATTTCTAGCAAAACATGTTGTTTTTGCTGACCCACCCCAATTTGGGGAAATTAGTGTACTACATCTAATTGTCAGAACTGACTAGCTAAAAAAGGTGTATAAATATGTCTTCCCAAGTCCCTCTTTGACCAGATTTTAAACACCTAAATAGCTGCATTTTCTTATGTTTTGCTGATCTGGCTGCTGCTCTGTCCCTTTGGTATGGTTGAGAGCTGGCACAAACACCAACAGGCTTTGAGTGGTTTTAAGTTTCCCTGAAGGTCTGATCAGACACAGAACTGATACATGACCTAGAGAGTATAAAGACAATGTTTGCATCTCTTTTCTGAGGATATAGCTCTTAACTTCTCATATAGAAGTGTATTGGGTCTGGCTGAGCTGGAGTTTGTTTTTCCCACAGTAGCCCTCACAGTGCTGTGCTTTGCATTGGTAGCTAGAAGGGTGTTGATAACACACTGGTGTTTTGGCTACTGCTGAGCACAGCACCAACACTGTAGCATTCCTTCCTTAGTTGAGGGCAAGATCCTGGGAGGGGACCCAAGTAGGCCAGCTGACCCAAACTGACTAAAGGGATATTCTATACCATATGCCATCAGCTCAGATATAAAAGCTAAGGCACAGAACAGGAGGGCGGGCATTCATTGTCTAATGGCTGCCTGCTGAGAAACTGTCACGCGTGCTGAAGTCCTGCTTCTCGAGAGTGGCCGACCATCGCTGCTGATGGGAAGTAGAGAATAAACCCTGCTATCTTTCGCTTCTGCGCGCACAAGCTTCATTTTACTTTTTGCTTTGAATAAACTGCCTTATTCCAACCCACGAGTTGTTTTTTTCCACCTTATTCTCTCCCCTATCCTTCTAGGAAGGGGAGTGATAGAGTGGCTGGGTGGGCACCTGGCATCCAGCCAAGATCAACCCACCACAAGGAGCTACTGCAAGAAGCAGTCAGTGCATTGCCTGCAGAGCAATGAAGGGCTCATTCTGGGATAATGCTCACCAAGAGTGTTGACTGTACAAGTTACAGAGAGGTTTCTGATGGTCAGACTGATGTCAATTTTTGCATTTCCCTTCAGAAAGCACACACCAAACAGAAGTGCCATGCTATTCCTTAGCACAGAGGAGGATAGGTAAATGACTGCTCTGGGCCTGACCAAAGCTATCATCCACTTACAGTAAAAGTGTCTCCAA